CCAGTTGGTGACCCATTGGACTGTATGGGTGTCTACGCCCATGTAGCACAGGGCAGTGGGGATCACCCCCCTGTTTGGCACCCGCATGGAAGCTGTTGCATCACATGGGTGCAATGTGGCTCGGTAGGGTGCTGCTTGCTGTCTAGAAGCTGGGGCAGCTCCAGCAGTCACCCAGAGCCCAGCAGTGCTCAGCCCCAGCAGCCCCAGCTCCCAGACAGCACACAGAGTCCTGTGGATCATACTACATCTTAGCAAATATCAAAGAGTAAAGTGTTATGGTAAAGCCATTTGTTGCTAAATCCTCATTACTTTTACACAGAAATGATGAAAATCCTTTGAAGTATGGTCTGTTGAAAAAATTATTCTATTAGTTCAAACGCTGGTTTGCATCCATAGATGCTTCTCAAGCAAATCCCAGGACGTCATTCTCCCCTTGTACTCAGCCTTGGTGAGGCCACAGCTGGAGTACTGCATCTAGTTTTGGGCCCCACAATTCAAAAAGGATGTGGAGAAGCTTGAGAGGGTCCAGAGAAGAGCCACGCGCATGATCAGAGGTCAGGAAAACAGACCTTACAATGACAGGCTGAGAGCCATGGGGCTCTTTAGCCTGGAAAAGTGTAGGCTCAGGGGTGACCTGATGGCCACCTATAAGTTTATCAGGGGTGACCACCAGTTTCTGGAGGAACGTTTGTTCACCAGAGTGCCCCCAGGGATGACGAGGTCAAACAGTTATAAAATACTGCAAGACCGTTTCAGGCTGGACATAAGGAAGAATTTCTTTACTGTCCGAGCCCCCAAGGTCTGGAACAACCTGCCAATTGGAAGTGGTTCAAGCACCTACATTGAACACCTTCGAGAGTAAATTGGATGCTTATCTTGCTGGGATCCTCTGACCCCAGCTGACTTCCTGCCCTTTGGGTGGGGGGCTGGAATTGATGATCTTCCGAGGTACCTTCCAGCCTTAATGTCTATGAAATCTATAAAATCTATGAAAAAGCCTTTGCAGAGAATAACTAAACTTCTATTTATTTCGTACAGAATATGCCACATTATATATTAGCAGTTCTTTTTAACTCTTAAATTATATTCTTACTTCTTTCTTTCATATTATAAGCATTATCTTTCTTGATTATTGACATGCCTACCATATTTAGGATCTTTTCTCCTCAGAAATTATGCATGGCATAGCCCTTTATTTGTTGTTTAGGGAATCAGTGTATTTTTTTAAATGAAAAAAAAGACTGCAGTTGAAACCTTATTCTATGAAGAACAGAATAGTAAACATATGGCACAAAAGAGTAAGCTCTTGGTACAGTCTCTTTGTATATTTGGAAGAATTATGTTAGCATAAATCTTCATTCCTCTTGTTTTAGACATTATATCATGTTCCCTGTCACAGGATTTGAATTCAGAATGACCTCATGTTAAATTTGAAAGATACAGTTCAGCAGTCTGTATACAAATACCCAGCAATTATTCTGAAACCAAATACATTCTAGAATGCCAGTGTTACCATAGTCACAAATAATCCTAGTACTGTAGTTGGAATTATAAAGAATCACCCAGCCAAAAGAAAGCATTCCTATTATGTATTTATGAATGTCCTATAGCTTGTTGAATATTTTGAGATGATGAGGAAGTCTCATTCAGTATCAACATCATCAATTATTTTGTTTATTTTGCATTTGCTAATTGGGCTGAGGTCCTATTTTCAGATTTCTTATGCCTCCCCAGTTCTCCACATATCCCTGGAATTTTCAAGACATTTCATTTGTAGCACACATCAAATGTAAAACTCCCTTCTGACAGTCAGTCACCTTGTATTTATTTATAAATTTTTTTTTATCTCAAGTGCCAATGCGAAACTCAAAATGTTTAATTTTGGATCAGTTCAGCAAAACATGAAATCATATTACTTTATGAGCATAGTGCTTCATAGTTATTCTGTCCCAGGACACTATTCCTTTTAGGGGGGTAGTCTACCTGGAGGATTCCATTTCCCAGAATGGCCCATAGATTTTCCTCTGGCCAAACTGCATGGTGTATGATGAGCCCATGACTGGGAATGTCAGGGGAGATGTATACCTTTTATGAAGATGGGCCCTAGACAAGGAAAGGAGCATCAGGCTTCAGAATTATAGCTTCTGCAAGGTTTGAGGCAGCATTGTAGAAAATGCAATTTAAAATTGAGTTTCCTTGAGTTCAGTCATTCAGGTTGTTCAGTAATGCTAACCAAACTAAAGCATTTCAGTCTGGGAATTGTCAAAAGGGTATATTTGATCTAACTTATAAAATGCAATGTCAGTATTTTTGTATTGAGATTTTTTTTGAATTTCTATTTAATGAAACAAGTTAAACTTTCAAATGTTCTTCCACATTTTAGATTATAGAACATATTGAAGTATCAGCATTTCCCACATGGCCAAGATTCAGGATTTCTCTCAGGTCTAGAGTCATATACAATATACAGGGTTTTTCTGCAATAGCAAGTATCTATCTATGTAAAGCACACATAGCCGTAGTATGTGAGTACTTTACAATCTTTAAGTATTTTCCCTGCAGCATCCTTGTGAGGTCAAGGAGAACTATTACCTTCATTTCACATATGAGGAACTGAAGCACAGAAAGGCTAGGTAACTTGCCTAAGGGCATACAAATGTCCAGAGTAAAGCAGAGCATTAAACCTGGCTTTTCAAAGTTCATGGTTAGTGACTTACCTACTGATCTACCTTCTGTAAGCATCTTTTTATATATTTACCAGATTTGTCCCCAAATATGCTATCAATCTTTTTTAAGGACTTAATTTATTAATGAATTCAGCTTATAAAATAACTGATCCAACAATTCTTGCAAAATTTACACAGTAAGAGATACCAAACTGATCCAACAATTCTTGCAAAATTTACACAGTAAGAGATACCAAACATCCCAACAGCACTACCACAACCCAAATAAATGTCCATCGTTCTTATGCTGCTTTCCCCTCCCCCACCCAGTGTTATCAGTATTTTCAGTGGGACTTCACTATATTAATTAGGGAATTGGTGAATATTTTTTGAGTTGGGCCCATGTAGAGCCCATGTACTTTGGGATAGATTCATAGATTAAGGGTCGGAAGGGACCTAGTAGATCTTCTAGCCCGACCCCCCGCCAGGGCGGGAGAACAACAAAAAACCCCAAAAAGAGAAACGGGACTCAAATGAGTCCAGCCAGGTAGGCATCCAGCCTCTTCTTAAAGACCCCCAGGGTAGGGGCCAGCACCACTTCCCTTGGAAGTT